GCACCCCCCCTTCACAGTATTCTTTAAAGATGAGGCTACTCTTAGGCCACGTCTGAAGTTCATCCCCAAGGTGACCTTGTCTTTTCACATAAACAGCTGATTCATCTCCTAACCTTTTATCCAAAGCTTTATCATGATACCAGGGCAGCTATACTGCCTACACTAGACATTAGGAGCATCTTAGCCTTTTATCTGGACAGGAAAAAGGCCTTTAGAAAATCTCCTAATCTTTTCCTCTTCATTGTGGAAAGGTCAAAAGGCGTAGCAATATCGGCCCAAAGATTCTCCAAATGGGTCTCAAACGTAAGAACAGCCATACTGGGTCTGACCAAAGGTCCATCTAGCCCAGTATCCTGTCTTCCGACAGTGGCCAATGCCAAGTGCCCCAGAGGGAACAAACAGAACAGGTAATCATCAAGTGATCCATCCCATCGCCCATTCCCAGCTTCTGGCAAACAGAGGCTAGGGACGCCATCCCTGTATGTCCTGGCTAAAAGCCATTGATAGACCTATCCTCTATGAACTTATCTCGTTCTTTCTTGAACCCTGCTATAATCTTGGCCTTCGCAACATCCTCTGGCAGGGAATTCCACAGGTTGACTGTGCATTGTGTGAATAAATACTTCCTTTTGTTTGTTTTAAACCTGCTGCCTATTAATTTCATTTGATGATCCCTAGTTCTTGTGTTGAGTAAATAACACTTCCTTATTTACTTTCTCCACACCAGTCATGATTTTATAGACCTCGATCCTATCTCCCCTTAGTTGTTTCTTTTCCAAGATGAAAAGTCCTAGTGTTATTAATCTCTACTCATACGGAAGCCGTTCCTTACCCCTAATAATTTTTGTTGCCCTTTTCGGAACCTTTTCCAATTCCAATATATCTTTTTTGAGATGGGGTGATCACATCTGCACGCAGTATCAATTGTATTAACCACTGTTGTCATGGTTGCACGGTGTTACTTCCATCCATAATCTGCACACATTTGATGAGGTTGGTTTCCACCTCTGTCATTTTCCTCAAGACTGTTCCTATCTCAGAAATCTGTAGGGCAGCAACTTGGGAATCTGCTCATACCTTCACAGAACACTTGTGTGATTACTGGAGACTCTGCTTCCGATGCTATCTTCAGCTCCACAGTGTTCTCATCCATAACAGACTCGACTCCGAAGCCCCAATCTCCCACTGGGGATTCTGCTCGGGAGTCACCCACAGGGACATTATTCAAAGAAGAAGAGGAAGTTACTCACTGTGTGCAGTAAGGATGGTTCTTCAGGATGTGTCCCCCTCTTGGTGCTCCCCAACCCACCCTCCTCCCCTCTACTTTGGAGTTCTCAATGGAGGCTTTGTGGTAGAGAAGGAATTGAGGGTGGTTTGCCTATGCAATGCTAATTAGCCTCAAGGCACAACACAAGGGAGGGAAAGAGCATGTGCAGGCTGAACGGACACTGCTACCAAATATCTCTGATCAATAGTACAGGGATTAGGGAAACCTAATCCACCTAAAAAGAAAATGAGTACTTGTGGCAGTACTCCTTTTCTTTTTGCGAATACAGACTAACACGACTGTTACTCTGAAACTAATCCGCCTAATCTCTGATCAATAGACACACCTACAGTGGAACACCCATAGGGACACACATCTCGAAGAACCATCATTACTGCACAAGGTGAGTAACTTCCTCTTATTATTGTCACAGCTTTCTTTTAATTGCTGAGTGGGGCCTTTTCCTTTCTAGCCACAAAGCATAAAGCGGACATTATTTTCTTAACTAAACTAATTGTTTTAATTTCATAACCATTCCTACATATGGATCTTGAGTGACTTCAGTGCCAAGTTGCTGTTTATCTATAAGAAGTGGAAAAGTTCTGTCTCTGACTTAGAGTCCTCTGGGTCTGGAAGGAGATTTGTTCTTGGTTCTTCTGCTCACAGTACTGATGATAGACTGTTATCAAGCTCCTGTTTTGGTTTCAGCTGAGGTTCTGGAGAGTGTTGAGCTCTTAGGCTTTGCAGGTCATCATCTTTAGAATCTTCATGCCCCAGCAGTTACATTTCTCCCCTGTGACTCTTCCTACTTCAGTTGCAAGTGCATGGATCTGGGAACCTTCTTGGTCAGGCTTTGAATCAGTTGGGATGGATCCATTGACTTAGCCTGGGGTTGTTGCTTACGCTAGCCATCTTTTGGACGTGAGGAGGTCTATAAGTTAGATCCTCTTGTGCTGCAGTCATCAGATCTTCAATCAAATCTGATGACATGTTTGAAGATCCCTGTTGATTGCCCCCTGTCCTTTAGGGTTCTACAAACACTTTAATTAAATTGATTTTATTCATCATGACCCATGGTCTCAGTGTGGTCACCCCTCAGTGCCAGGCATCTCACTCTTCCTCCTAAGAGGTCCTGACCCTCTCCATTAAAGAATCCGCCTCCATTCACCGTTTGGGTAGATATTTTTTTCTTGAAGATGACTGGGTATTTGGGATAGAACCTGAAAAAAGTTTTGCGGCGTTCAAGGTCGGAGTCTCCTCTCTCTTTTTTCTTCTCTTCAAACTCTGTGGATGAACTGGTATTTACTAAGGCTACATTTCCTCATGAGCTAAATCTGTTTCATAGGATGCTGGCTAGGCTAGCATAACTATTGAGTATGCCTTTGGAGGTTGTTAGTGGAAAAAAAATACTACTAGCTATTTAACGGAGTGGAGGGAAAGAAATAATGCAAAAACAGGTGGACCCTTGCACCAGAACATCCTCCCTTGCTCCTATTGCAGAAAGCTCTTCAGACAATTGGGGGAGCCGAGGCTGTGCAAAAAACTTCTGTGTCATGCATCCCTAGCTGTACATAACTTTTCTGACAGGTGTGTCTGCACGTGTCCCTTCCAGAATCGGTCCTAAACCTTTTGAATAAGTCTGTTTTTAGGAATGTGTGTGTTTTCAAGAAAAAGTGCATGATCAAAGAAATTTTCGTGAGATTGTTACATAAAACCCCTGCTTTATTGTTGTTGACTTGTCGTGCCTCTTACAGTTATGGATTGCATTTCTAGGAATTCTTTTGAATTATTTTTTCAGCTTTAATTATGAATATACTTTTTGTAGGTTTAAAGTGGACATTCAGCAGTACTTAAATGAAGGGAAAGGGGAAGAAGTTTCCATTAAATTATTGGAGGGGTGCTGGTCTGGGTGTAGTTAAAGTTGAATCCAGTCCTGTTACAAATCCAGTTTTCAACATCATTTTTTCTTCCCTAACTTCATCAAAACTAAAATAACCCTAGGCCACAGCTCATTTTAGGGCAGAATACTTCTGGAAAGTTTGGGGCCCATCACAAGGAATTTGAGGGATGCTTTAAAATGTCCTAATTATTCACTTTTCATAGATTTTCCTAATACTACTTTGATTTGTCGTATCTCTGAAACATTCACATAAAAACTTCAAATTTCAATCTACCGGGCATCCCTAATGAGTAGAAGAGCCTGCCCTAGGTTTTGCGAGAGAACATGTAGCTATTTAAAAGGTATTCTTGTGAGAATACAAAAGTGCATGCATCGATACCTGTGTTTGGAAGTGTATATAATACATACCAGTTTGATGCATGCATAATACATGCACATCAGTTTGATACACGCTTTGAAAAGTGTGCATGGTGCATGTGCGAAAGGACGTGAGGCTGGGCACAGTTGGCAGGAAACCCCAGAGGGTGCAGGTAGGTTTGTTCTGGAAGGCGCACAGCAGGGAAAAGGAATTAGTATGGAGAATGGAAATGAAGCAAGACAGTTTAGGAAAAAATGGGGTCCATTCTGATTAGCTTGCAAGCTCTGCCAGTCATGTCAGAGCTTGGAAGGGCAGAAGGGATGGATACCTGTCACTGAGCAATTCTTAAAACATATAAAAAGTCCTAGCGGAATTTCTTGCAGAAAACTTTTACCTAGAGTTAGTGATCAAAGTATCTACCCCTCAGCCAAAGACCCCAGAGAATGTTACAGTTTCCTCAGAATGCACTAATCTGAGGCTTGTCATGTCAAATTCAGGCTCCATTTTACAAAAACATCCAAATGTTCAGAGTATGCAAACAGCCTTTGCTCAGCCTCCATAGTGACACCATGGGAACAATCAGAAACCTTATCATGCCATCACACAAATTTATTGAGAGAAATGTGTTTTTTGTCACTGGTGATGTATCTGAGTAATGGATAGATAAGAAGAAGCTGTATTGAGATAGTATGAGAAGGGACAAAGTTAAAGTTGTTTGCGTGACCACATCTACAATTGCTAATGTTCCAAATAAAATGTGTGTGTGAAGTCAATTCTTAATTTGGGCTTTCTGATGGTTTTTTGTTTGCTTTGTTTTTTGATGATATATAATTGTCAGTTTGACAAAACAGAGTCAATGAAAAGACGAGGTATTCTCATTTTGTAAATAGTAATAATATTCATAGCAATACTCATGGAACTCACCAGTATAAACTGAAAAAGTGTTGCCTTACTTTGCTTCAGTCTCATGAATGGTAAATGACTTTCAGACAGTCTTTGCATACAGTGTTAGCAATAGGACATGCTGTTCCTATGGATACCAAACTAAAGTGCATTTCATTGTATTTGATACTAGAAATGTCCACTGTTGCAGATGATTTTATCAGTATTCACTCTAATTTTATTTAGCTTTTCTTTGAGAGGTTGGTTTTTTTTAAAGCCAGTATCACTAAGTATATTGTAAATACATGCTTTCTTATCAAAAGAAGGCAGAAGGTAGGAACATAATAGAAGTATGTTTACAGTGGTTTTCAGATCTAGTATAGTAATTTCAAAGGAAATAATGCCTTCAGAATGTGCTTTGAGAAAGGTTTTTCATTTTTTTCAACTGAATAAAACACTGGATGGGTTTATTTTCAGGGAGAACTGTAGTAACATACTACACTAAATAGTTTAGGCATACAGTGGGAAGAGAGACTGAACAAGTAATAATCAAGGATAATGAGAACTTTCTAACAGAACATTTTTATATGCAGGAGAACTCCGGCACATTACCAAGCTAAAACCTTGGAGCCTCTTTGATGTGCTCGTGGAAAAATATGGTTGGCCTCATGAAGATGCCGCACAGTTCACAGATTTCCTGATTCCCATGCTAGAAATGGTTCCAGAAAAACGAGCTTCAGCTGGAGAATGCCTTAGGCATCCATGGTTGAATTCTTAGCAGAATCTTCAAATGTAAGATTGAACCAGCAACCACTTCCAGTGCATCGGACCTAAATGGTGACTGTCACAAATTCTTTAACAGGATCACAAGTGAGCTGGCTTCATCCTCAGACCTTTATTTTGCTTTGAGGTACTGTTTGACATTTTGCTTTTTGTGCACTGTATTCTTGGGGAAGGGTAGTCTTGTCTTCAGCTGGTAGTTTACTCACCCACTCTCTTCAGAAAACACTTAACGTGTCTTTAAGCATCATTTCTTGTGTTGTGTGGCATTCAAATGTCAAACTTTTGAACAAACTATTCCCCCCATCCCTCTGTGTTTTGGCAGGTTTTGTAACTATTTATGATGAAATATTTTAGCTGAGTATTATATAATTTACAAGTTTGACATCAAGTCAGAACTGAGAAATGGCAAGGAATTGTACAATTTTATTTTCTGACAAAGGGACATCATTCTTGTATTATAGTGTATGTAAATGCACCCTGTAAATGTTTATTTCCATTTAAATATGGGATGGGGACTCAGATTTCAGAGTAAAGCTACTAAGTTTAAAGAGCTTTGTAGCATACAAATTGCATGTAGCGGACTTCAAGCTGCTTTAAGGATTTGTGTAAACTTTCCATTTTGTAGAAGTTCCTGTACATTAGATTATAAACAAAGTGGCTCTGGTTTACAAGACTTCATTCCACCAATGGCACTTTAAAGGAAGGCTAGACTTCTTTCTAACGATAAAGTATGCATTATCATTTAGCACTCCCTTTTAGAATTTTTGCCTATTTTAAGTGCTTTTAAGGAGAAAATAGCAATTTCCCTTACAATGTGATAGTGAAGACATGGTACCATATGGTGTTGCCTTTTTATAAGCACTGTAATTTGTACTATACCCAAAAGATTAAAAGTGAGCATGGGAAATATTCTGTCTAGGATTACTGATCTTTTACAATAATATATGCTTGGGGTACGAAAAGGATTGACCAAAAAGCAAATATAATTTAGAGGACAAAATAATTCAATGTTTGAGACAGTTCATGCTCATTCCATTCATAGCTTTACATGCTCCGAAAACGAATTGCACTAGCTTTTCCCCCCCCATGAATTGACATAGATAGCAATTAGTTTGCCCTTTGTAAGTTGCACGCAAAATTGTAAATGTTTCCGGGGGTGAAAAAAGCTAAATACTCAAATTCATAGGCAATACAGATTTTAGAATGTAAAATATGGAGGTGTATTTTGCCCTCTTTTAGAAGTCAGTGGGGTGAATGTAAGTTTATTTCTGGTTTTACATAATTATGGTGCCACTTTTTTGACTGTCCATTTTAAATTTATTCACATGCCTTTGCAATAACTAGATTGTGAGAAGATAGCTCTGTGTTGTAACAATAACCAATTGTTTGAGGTGCTTGCAGTTGTCTAATTAAAGTGTTTTGTTTTTTCAGACATTGTGCTGGTCATTCAAATGCTTGATAATGGTAAATCCAACTGTTTGATAGTCACATTTCTCAGTAGGTTTTTTAACCTAGCATACTGGAAATGCCAGTTGACAATTCATTTGTAAAATATCTGTACACGCTTAAAATATTTTACTTAATACATCAGAGCTAAAATAGCACCTGCAACAGTTAACTCATTGCTTGTTCAGACTCAGAAATGGCATTCCACAGAACTTGTTCAAGTTAAAGTAACCTTTGCTTGCTTTTTGCCCTTCTGTGTATAATTAAAAATGAAGATTATTTAAAACCTCTTGGTAGAGTACAACACAATATGCTATTATTCAAGAGACTTTCAGCCACATTTGGCAATGCTAACATTTGGGTTTCAGAGCAGAGAGCAATGGCAGCCATCTACTTAAGGACTTCATACTGGAAAGCTGTTTTTTTTTTTAAAAAGGCAGCAAGGATAATATTGATAGTGTGAAGACAAAATGCTGTAATGAAAGCAAGAGAAGACAGGAGGTAAAATTTTCTGTTTCACCGAGGAGTTGCCTTTAGGTTCATCCTGTTGTAACAAGTGATAAATTTTCAATACAGGAAGGAAAGAAAAACTTAAGAATTGAAATATTAGTTTAAAACGTCACTTTCTAGGCACCAAACCAAATATTCCAATATTACAGCTCTTTGCACTACTGTAGCTATTTTTACAAAAGTTACTGGTATCCTAACATTCAGTTAATGGTGGTAACTTAAACAGTACCATTTCAGACACGTACTATGCTGTCTTTTACCCATTTCTTTCAAAAAGCTGTAGCTACTCAATTTATACTGACAAAATGTCTCGTACAAAATATGAGTTCTTGCTTCCAAGCTAGCTAATGATCCACTCACTTAATTTTATTAATACAATGGCTTTGACCACCACAGTAAAGTAATAAATTGTGGCTCTATAGGGTTGGGATAAGGAGGTTACTTGTTCAAAGCTCTGGTCGTTTAATTAGTTGATGGTCTTAGCCAGTTCCTAGTAGACTTTGGTTGCTAGACTCAGGAGAAAAAAATACAAGGATGTGAATAGTAATGGAACTGAATTGCCTTTCCTGTAGTAGTAAGAAAATCTATTTCTAATGCTGTTACCAGTCCAATGCCTTCTTTCACCAGTAGCAGTTGAACATAAAGACAAAGCAACAGTTCCTCTTTACTCAATCTGCTATACTAGCTTTTTATAAACTGGTGGAATTTCTTGATTCTTAAAAACCTGAAAAAAAATTAACATCCACAATAAGCTACAGTAGAAAAATTACTTGACTCCCCATGCCTTCAGCTAGTTTCACAGGACTAATTAAACTTTTAAATTATATACAGCCAAGTGAATTAGTTTTAAGATCTGAAATAATTGGTCCTACCACCAGACTGGTATTTAATAAGATGATTAAAGGCTTGTCTTCATGTTCTATAGCATAAAAATTGGTGCACACATTTCTTCTGTGCACACATTCAAGCATAGCTGCAGCATCTTCATTACCCTACAGATATCTTATCCTAGATATAAAGTTAAAACACTGAACTTGCATTTTAACAATAAGCTTTCTGGCTGTATTTATTCATTTCTGTTAAGTCCATTACCCTCCATGTTACTCTTTAGCCACAAAAACATACCCATCTCCTCTCTTTTGGTAATAAAGTTCATAAATTTTTCATTTTTATGTTGAAATGTCTTCTCTTCACAATGTAGGTGGTCGTTTTTAATGTCTTAGTGCATTTCAGGAATTATTTTACAAAAATCTAACAAACCATACATGTTGGAATTCTATTTTGAACTTTTAGAATAGGAAACATACCTATAGGTACCAAAATATGTGCAAATGTTCCTGGGGTCTATCTTCAAGATCAGAATAACCAATATTTGAATGGTATGGATCTAGACTGTAACTGTACCAATGTATGAATAATTATCCTGTACAATGCATAAACTGTGTGGATTAGTTTTGTATAATGTAACATATTTCAGTAAACTGACACTACACTGATATTTCAAGTAGTTTTTCCTCATCTCTAATCACTAAGATTAGCAGGAAAAGAACACACTAACCTTTAATGCAGTGGTTCTCAAACTTATTTGATTGTTGCCCCCTCTTCTTTGTGGCTGTAGTAGTTTACACCACCCACCTTCAGAGCTGGGCAGCCGGAGAGCAGTAGCTGTGAAGGCAGCACAGAATTAAGAGTGGCATGTATTATCACCCTTACTTCTGCACTGCTGCTGGGTGCCCAGCCAGGAGCTGCTGCTCTCTGGCCACCCAGCTCTGAATGTGCACAGTAAGTTCCCCACCTGCCCCGTAAAGCTTCTCATGTCCTCCCAGTTTGAGAACCCCTGCTTTAATGGACAGCTTCACAGATGAAATTTGAGGTGGAATATGCAACTGGTCAGCTTTCCTCGCAGGAAGAATAAAATATCCATGAAATGGGAACTCAGAGTATTTTTGAAGAGGAAATAAAGTAGTGCCATCACTTCTAATTATAGCACTCACAATCCTGGCAGATTTTTAAATAGCTGGACATGCAGTCACTTATAACCTTATTTTTTCCTTAAATACACAACTCTCAGGACAGTGTTAAAACTGACATAATTGTGATTTATTAACATGAATTAAAATGCCCAGCCAGTGCTGCAATGTGACAGTATATTAAAAAATTAAAGATCATATACTGTACTACTTCCACAAAGATCACACATTTTTGCAAAAGAGACTTGTCATTATGTACAGTACTATATCAAATGAAAGAAGCCTTAAGCAATTTTACACGCAAAAAGAAACAGTATTTACAGCAGTTGTCAGAGATATTAGAAACAATCTATACATTAAATTACATTTCTGTAAATAACTGATGAAACAAAAGTCATGTCCACGCCAAACTATAAAAATCTGTATTGCATTGTTTTCTAGCTATATGCACACAAAGAACTGTTGACAGAAGAAAATGAAAAACCTATTCGTGCCATCTCTTATCAGTGTACTTATTTAATTACATATGTATAAAAAGTAATATAGAAAACATTCACTAAATGAATTTAACTGCAACAATAAAATTTAAAGATTATGCAGCATCAAATCTACTGCCAGAAAAAACTGCTGGAATGTTCACTTACAAAATAAAAAGAAATACCTAATACTGGCTGAACAGCACATTTTCAGGAATTTTAAAAAAGCAAAAAAATGGAAAGAATACAATGAAAGAGCACTGGTGTTTGCTTTTATACAAAGTATCATGTACAAGCGTTAAAAAGTACCTTGAACAGGTACATATGAAATATACACAGTTTATCTTACAGAAACATTTTTAAAATGTTTAGGAGCAAGGGTCCCATTTTAATGCCACCCTGAACCATGGTAATTATTTTGAAAAGTTGGTGGCACCTGTGCTCTGTGAATAGGAATTTGTCCAGGCACTGGAGATGCCTGCTGAGGTCCTTGCACACCATGAGGAAGGGTTACAGAGCCAGGATGAGGACAGAACCCTGAAGCTGCAGGTGTTGGAATACTGTTTGGTCCTTGAGGTTGGATATGAGGACCTTGACCTGGTAGTGGACAGTGAGGTCCTGTTCCAGCAGGCTGATGTTGAGGTCCAGGTCCCAACGTTGTATGATGTGGGGCTTGTGATGAATAGGAAGATACATTTGAATGAGCACTTGAAGGAAAATGTGGGGGTCCTTGATGTGATGGATGGTGTATCCCTTGTGCTGATGCTGGGTGATGCCCAGAGCCTAAAACATTGGAAGGTGGAGGTGGCGGGGGTGGAGGAGCTGAATTTACTACATGCTGGTGTTGTGCTTGCAGACCTTGATGTCCTGTTGTGGAATGAGGAGGTTGATGGTGGGGCAGAGGACCTGGGGGTGGAGGTGGTGGTGGCAAATGGTGACTAGCAGCTTGAGAATGAATGTGTGATCCAGGGGCTACTGCCACGGCATGAACTGGACCTACTACGTGTGCTACAGAATGCTGCTGATGGGAACTTTGCTGCTGTACAAGATGAGGTCCTGGAGCAGGTGGTGGTGGAGGAGGAGGAGGAACAGCAGATGCTGAAGCCTGATGATGAATACTGGGGTTCTGAGATGGCAAAAAATGCCCTGCAGTTACATGGTGTCCTGGAACTGCTTGCTGGCCTGTAGTGCCAGGAAGTGCTTGATTTGGTCCAGAAGAGAAAACAGTTTGTTGGGGTATGCTACCCTTTAACTGACTATAACTCTGAAAGTTTCCAGAGGGCTGCTGGTTTTGATAGTAAGTAGAAGAAGAAGGGGGTGGGGGAGGAGGTGGGGGCGGTGCACTGCTGTTCAAATTTTGTTGGTTAAACTGACTATAAGTTGCTGAAGATTGTCCTGAAGGTGCCTGGGTGAACAACTGTCCACTAGCTTGCTGCTGACTACCAGGCTGAAGGTTCTGTACTGCTGGATAAAAACTTCGGTGTGTTTCTCTCTGAGGTGTTCCAACTTGAGGTGACTGTGGATGATGAGGTCTGTACGGAGATCCTAACTGCTGTGAGTGAGGCTTTGGTGAAAGATAACCATGCTGTACAGGTGCGTGAGGAGTAGATGACTTTGGAGGATTTTCTACATGAGGTGAAGGGGGACAGTGCAGTTTCAAAGGTGCAGAAGGCAGCTTTTGTGAATGGGAAAGTTGCTCTGTTGAACTACGCAAATGCGACTGAGATGGGTGAGTTTTTGAAAGTACTTGGACATTATTTGTCAGTTGTTTTTGTTGCAGCTCAGATTTGGGATGATTCGCATTCTCAGCCTCTGGAGCATTAACTGCAGTTTCCCAGTGAGAATCTGGTTTTGTGGGTGTTCTCCCAATTGATTGCGCTGAAACTACAGGACCAGGTGAAGAAGGCTAGATAGATGAAGAGAAACAACAAAGTCAGTGTAACTTTACCCCAAAATGTTTTAAAGTATATATATATAAAAACCAGTTTCTTAAAAATAACTTTCACCCAGTAAGTGTTTTAGAAATCAAAAAGAGTTTGTTTTCCTTGGCAGGTGCACAGGATGTTCATTATTTGAAGAAAAAGAAAACGATAGATACAGGTGGAAGGCTAAGCTTCCTTAATGGTAGCATTATCCTCATGATATAGTGTTACCAAAATGCACTGAAACTTCTTATTTATACAGCATACAAAGCATCCCAGGTTTAAAAAAAAACAACACTGGAGAAGACGTCACTACTTGAAATATCTTACAATCTATGTTATTTATAAAAGCCCTGGACTGCTGATACTAAGGGATTTATTTCAAGTTCTATACAAAATAATTTACAGGTTTCACATCAAACTTCAAATCTTAAAACTGGGATAATGTGAACAAACTGACTGAACATTACAACCTGAATTCCTCCATTTAATATTATGCCAGTAGCTACCACGCAATTTTCTTCCTATCAGTGTTAATTACCCTCTCTGTTAAAAAACTGACACTTTATTTTCAATATGAATTTAAGCACAAAGATTAGAGTTCAGATTCCTTGTAAAATTATATCTATTTGGTTTTTAAAATGAAAATGCAAAACCACTGAAACAATTTGTCTCCCCCAAAAATTCACTGCAATTGTGACTTTGGTCACTACCATTCAACATTACACATACCAAATTTTAATTGAACTGAGATAGGCTCATTCAAATATGGAATATTTTGGCTATGATCTATGAGGATTGAATAGATTTTATCTGTTCATATTCCAGAGAATTAGGATAAAAAACAAATTAATCAGTCTGGTTATTCTTTGGAATTATCAGAAAATCTTGATAAACAATACCACTTGTACTATGCTAAGGTATAATGATCTTAAATGTGCTTGTTGGTGTTGGCAAGTCCTTTGCAATTGAGAATCCCTATCATGAATGAAAGCAATGGTAACTTTTTACTTGGATTAGATGAAAAATGTCTTATGTGGCATATTACATGGTTGAGACTTGGCTAGAGTTATTGCTGCTCATATTCAACACAGATACATAACAGGTAAAAGAAAAAAGTTCTTGACAACTACCTAAGTGAAAAGCACTTCAAACAATCAAGAAAGACATTCCCAAATGTACTACATATCTATACATACTAATCTAATCAAACTACCCATTAGTGCTGGGTGCATCTTATCTACGCATGTGTGTGCACACACACACACACACTCTATTACCTTGCTTGCTTTTGAAGGACTCTTGCAAGTCTTTTGAGAAGTATCTGGGGATGGACATTCAGCTGTGGACTCTGGATTTTCAGGATCAGGGTCTACAAACAAAATCACAGTAAAATGTAGAAATTTGATAAACAAGACTTTTGTAAACACTACTGAACAGTTTATGTTCAACTCCAGAGAACTATTTTTCAAGTTCTAAGTGATATGATTCAACACTGCAAGCATGATACGAGGTCATCTGCTTACTGACCTTCCATTAGTTCAGTGAAATAAAGGACCTTAAGTTGCAACTGAGGAATGATATTTGAATGAGATGGTGAGTATGAACTACAAGGTGATTCTCGTCCTACAGATGAAGCAGATCTGAACATAATATTAAAATGGCTAAGAGCTATTATGTGGATTAGTTCAATGAATCCATTTTCTGGACTGATAGTAAGCCAACTTACCACTGTCCTTGTCTTTCCTATGATCACTGAGAAGTAAAGCTCTTTGATAACTTCGCTCCCTCACTTGTTCCACTGAAGTTGAAGCAGTCCTTTAAAAAACAAACAAAATATTCTTTACATTAAAGAGATCTAATTCTACATTTCACATGTCAGGATGTATATAATTTAAACTCAAACATAGGGTGAGAGAGCAGCTGTTTGGGCAAGAATACTGTGTAGCATACTCACTTGTTCTTGTATAGACAGTATACACAAAAGACAAAGAATGTTCCTATCGACAAACATGTAATCAGTTAATTAGGCTGTTCATTTTAATAGATTCTCACTTCAAATATGGAATAAGTTCAACAATTTCTGCAACATGTTCATCTGAACAGAAAAGGAAGTTAGCACTAACAGAATTCCTGTTAATATGAAGAGATTAGAGATCAGGATCTTTTTTCTTACTGTAGAAACTACATGGATGAGAAAGGGAAGGATGCTTTGTCACTGAGATAAATTGGGCACCCAACGTTGGTGGACATTTCTGAAAATTTAGGCCTCGTTCTCTGTCATTCAGTTTATCCATTGGTAAAATAGAGAAGATAATATCACACAGGGTGATGTAATGACTAGTTCATTGTCATTTGTAAAGCAGTTCTGGAAGGTGCTACATGAGCACAAGTTTTTTTGGGCAGAGTCCAAGCCATATTAGCTAGAGTTGAGAGCAGTGCCAAGCATTGGTAGGGGAAATGGACAACACTGGAACTCTTCCTCTGCATTCTAAAATGTTTTGATTAGTTATCAGTGAATCTACAGGATTACTCTACAGTGGTCTTGCTGGCTTCTGAAAAACATTTGGTTTCTTAAGTCTTGTAAGGAGGTGAGTCAATCATTAAGTAAACTTACCACATGAAAGGGCCTAAGTGTATTTAATGGATCATATATATAATCAATTTATATTGATTATGCATTTGCTCATATGTATTACTAACGAGTATGTGACATATATGTACTATATATATGTCTCACATATTAGTTAGTAATACATATGAGCAAATGCATAATCAATATAAATTTATACATAGTTTAGTATGGTTCATCAAACTTTTGAATAATCATTTTCTGGGAAGGAGTGCAAAACAACATTTTTGGCTTATTAAGTATCCCTAATTTCTTTTCTTGAAACATCCCTGATATTTGAGTGCAGAACAAGGATGAATTAACAATGAGGGGTCACAATGTCCCCACCAAATATAATCAGGATAAACCAAGAAAGTCCTTGTCAAATATTTAAGATTGATAGTATTGATTAAGTGTATTGTGGAATCTTACATTTGGTCATAAATATTGTTAATCATTATTATGTAATGAATCAAAGAGGGGTGTTGATAGACAGCAGGGTGTCATCTTGGGCATAGAAGGGTGTACGCAGACTTAAGACTATACACAAACAAAGGCAAAAACTTGTCTGTATATACTCAGCAAGATCATTGACCAAACATACCTCAACTGATCACTCGGGTGTTGGCACTTTGTACCTATTCTGAAATAAACCTGTTCCTTGGATCTGAACTCTGGAGTCAGCCGTGTTTTTTTCTGCCTTGCTAGGTTTGTATGGTAACCTGTAGGCCTGGTTGGTAGTCCTGAAAATATCCTTAAAGGTCTCTAATAATGCTTAATGGGGAAAAAATTAAGCAGCATCCAGTGTTCAGACTAGTACTTCTTTCTATCCTGTTTTCTCTTCCCCCCCCTCACTCTTTATTTCTGCAGCCCAGCATCTCCCACAGTTCTGGATGTCTGGGCTGCTCTTCTATCTCTGCAGCTCTTGGAAGTGGATTTGTGTTTTAGCACCACATGATCTGGTAACACTCCCTCTGTTCCTGCTTGCTGCCAGACTCTGCCTCAACAGCAGCAGACAATAGCACTTTCTTTTACTCCCACTCATTCTATTTTAACTTTTCTGTCCAGTTTTTTTTAGGCAGTGGAGGCAGTGTTCTCCCTGTCTCCCTCCTGGTCATTCTTCCTTCTGCTCCCTGGGGCAGTTAACCCTCCCTGAGCCTCCACTACAGTCTTAGCAGCCAAGAAAGCACTCGGTCAAATCCAAGTAGTGCTCTATATGTAAGGTAGGCTTCTCAGGTGGATGGTGAGTTGCACCCAGACTTCTGTCCGTAACTGTGTTAGGTCCCAGAGCTACAAGTTGGACAGGCAAGTGAGGTCCTTTACCGAGCAAGGCAGCTGCAACTCCAACAGGGAAACAATGGACCAGGAACCCCAGCGCAGAACGGGAAGAAGCTCCGAAAGCAAAGAACTCTGCCCATTCAACTCAGGGGATCATGCAGAACACTCCTTCCCGAGCCAAAAATCCACAAGAAAGCACAAAACAAGAAAGCACAAAAAATCCACAAGATAAAAGTTCTTTGCCTCCTCCTCCTTCCCCTCTGAGGAAGGTGCGCTATCTGAATCTGAAACCTGAGCAGACTCCTGAGCATAAACCTCACCTCTCAAAATCCTCCCAAGGCTTCAACGGCCCTTCACTCCTCCTTCAAGGAAGTGATGAAGAATTAATGGAACAAGCATGTTAAAAAGAGTAACCTCAGGCTCTATAATGTTCAAGAACCAAAGGGCTCTACTGCTGTGTTACCAAAGGATGATGCACTATAGCATCCTCCCTAGTGGGGGAATTCTATCCTAAGGAATCCATGGATAGAAAGATGGGCTTTGAAGCCTTTTCTGTCACCGAGTGTCCCTGGCAGCTACCTAAATTTGCAACATCATCTCCTTCCTGGCTGAAAGATCTCAAAGCCCTTAAGGACAGAGATCACCCTGAGTTTGGCTCCAATTTAAAGAGTCTCCCAAGCAAAAGCATTTATAGCTGATGCCTCAGTGGATTCAATAAGGTTCTCAGCCTAAGCCATGGCTTCCAGCTCATTAGCCAGGTGCCACCTATGGCTCTGACCAGAGTGGATAAAAATTAGTGATTTTTTAAAATTTATTTAAATAATACATTTTTCTTTTTAAAAATAAACCTGTTTTAAATGAAATATGAATTTAAAACAAAATATGTTAAGGCCTAAACTTATTATAATCTCTTAAAACATTTAAATAAAAATATACTGACTCCATGAGGCTATCAAAAACTTTGACTTAACTTTTTTCTATATAAAGAATGAATCTGGGGTGAAAAGTCTGACTTTTGAGGTCAAGCTTTACAAATATGGCATAAAAGGCCATGACCTGCATTAAGGGCTTGACTCTTGGGGGGACCCAGAGGCTGTGCTACTAGGTGCAAGAGACTAGCAAAGTCATCACAGGCTTTGGGACCCGACCTCTGACTCCCAGACACACCATCATGTATTTCATCAGAATCATCCACTGAGCTCACCTGTTTTTTTTCATATTCCTATTTTATAGCTTCTTTACCTGAGCTCAGATAAGCTTAGTTCTCAAATTATGAATATTTAGGATTCCATACATTATGGAAACTTACTCTCCAGCTCATGGAAAAACAATGAAGTTGATGTACCCAAACCATTTAAAGGTGTTTTGTTTAATAAAAATAAATTTGATATATTATTTTGTGTGTTTAATTAAATTCCAGTTACAATCCTAATACAGTTTGACACTAAGAGCAAAAAGTTAATTATCCAGTAAATAACCAATATCATTCACCATTTTCTAACATACTAAAATGTACAACTAATCAGAATCTGAAAATATTGTTCTACTGCATCCATTCTTCAGCCACTCACCCAGTTCAATGACTACGTAAAACAATCTGATCTAGAACAAACTAACTATCTCATCTGCATATGGAAGCAACAGAAAGTGTTCCCACACAAGAAGGGTGCTCTTGGTTCTTACTCCATCTTTGTCATTATACAGCAGTGCAAGGGGGGTGGAATCAGAGCTATTCTCCATTTCAAAAGGCTCAAAACAAGTGGATAAGAAAATAAGTTTTGGATGGAGAACCTATCCCTGTCCTAGGGGGAATTCTTAACTTCAGTAGATCTAGCAGAAGCATATCCCCACATAAAGCGTCACTGCAGTCTTCTGAGGTTTGTCTGTGGCAGGAAACATCACTGGTACCGAACACTCCCATTGGGCCTGTTCTCGGACCCCAGGGTTTTTACAAAAATGGTGGTGGTGATAATAGTGAGACTAAGGTTGATGGGAACTCCCCTTTTCCCCCTTCCTGGATGACATCCTGACCAGAACTCCAGTGCAGTAAGCAGTGCCCAGGGCCACATCCCAGATAATGAATCTCCTTAAGGCCCATAGCTTCATCATCAGGGCCAAGAAAAGATATCTGGTTCCATCCAGGAATTAATTTTCTTGCTCTAGAGTTGCAGATACTATGTTTTCAACTCCTAGGACTCCAGGTGTCCTGGATAGGGATCACTCTATGGTCACAATCATGCATCAGAAGTCTTCATACTAAAAGGTGTAGGACCACTCTACAGAACACGAGAGATCATGTACACGTTCTAACACAGGTGATCAACTCCTTACAATGGTGGTCAGCCCAAAGCAATGTCTGCAAAGGTACGGCCATCTGCCTTCCAGATCCTTTAGTCCTTGCAGTTGAGATCACTCTGGAGGATTGGGGAGCTCACTTAGAGACCCAGACACCCCAGGGAACCTGAAGCAAGGAAGAAATGGCTCATAGCATAAACCTAGAGCTGAGAGCAGTCAAGCTAGCTCTGCTACGGTTCCTGCTCAACCTAAGGGTGAACCACATCCTGGTTCAATCAGACAACACTACTATAATCGCATATTTAAACAACCACAAGGGAACTATAAATGGAAGCAAAGGAAATAATGAGACAGGTGGAACAGTTCCTCCTTTCTCTCAGAGCACTCCACATTAAAGGGGACCTGAACCAGCAGGCAGACTGGGTCAGCAGGTGCAGGGTCAACAACTCCGACTGGTGTCTGAATCAGGAGGTTTTCAATCTCATTGGTCAGATGTTCAGCCCCTCTTCAACCGAGCTGTTCATGGATCATACAAACACAAAGAGGCCAAAATACTTCACAATGGAGGCAGACCCCAGATCCATGGGGGCAGATGCCTTATCGCACAGCTAGCTGTAGGGCCTATCTATGCACTTCCACCCTTTCCACTACTGTGGAGGGTGGTCCAGAAAAGAAAATGAGAACAGTGATAATACTGATAATTCCTTTTTGGCCAAGGAGACGTGGGTTCTCAGACCTGATACAGCTGACACTGGAGCCCCCACTCCAGCTTCTGCAGAGATTGGACATCTTCTCACAAGGTCCCCTTCCTCATCTGGACCCAAAACAGCTTCAGCTAACAGCCTGAGTACTGAGAGCTCTGTCCTCCAGTCATTAAGACATTGCTTCATCTAGAAGAGTAGATATGCTAAAAGTGTACTTCTCTATCTTGTCCAGATTCAACAAAAGCCAAAACCACAGTGCAAAATCCCAGAACTCCAGGAATTCTAACTAGTCAGGATTTCCTCTAAGAAGCCATAGACCAAGGCCTTCAGCCCAGTACCACTGTGCCTCAGGTGTCTGCTCTTAGTAGTGTGCTATTTGCAGAAGCCTCAGACTCTCTGGCAGATTGAGCAGTCCGGTTCGCCAGACTGTGCTCAGGCCACTTTTTTAAAAATGGGACCTTTCTCAAGTTCCGAGTCCCCTGACAAGCCATCTTTTTGAGTGTTTGACGTTAGAGACGGCCTTTTATCTATCTATTGCAACTTGTTTCTTAGTAGTTGTCACAACCACCAGGAGACTGTCGGAGCTGCCAGCCTTATCTATACAGGAGTCTTACTGTATGGTACATGAGGACAAGGTGATGTTCAGGACACCAGAATCCCTTCTTCTCCTAAGTAAATTCCTCCTTCCATGCTTCCCAAGAGGTTACACTTTCTTCATTCTGCCCAAAACCACAAGATCCAAATGAAAAGATGTGGCACACCTTAGATGTCAGAAGAGTGTTGAAAATCTCTCAAGCACACAGACTCCACACGAAGATCAGGCTCCCTACTTGTGCCCTTCCACCGAAAATGCCAGGGACTCAGCGCTTCTAAGTCCTTCATCATGAGGTGGCTTAAACTATGTATTGTGGAAGCCTACAAATCATCATTGGTTCCTGTGTCAGAAGGAATAATGGCACGCTCCATGAGAGCCTTAGCAACCTCATGATTGGAACAAGTGAACATGTCCACTGGAAATCAGTGAAACAGCCACATGGTCTATAGCTAGTACCTTCATTAAGCAAGCCTTACAAGGTGGACCAACTATTTTCTGCAGAGGCCTCCTTTGGCAGGAAGGTGCTCCATGCAGTGGCTCAGAAATCAAGAGACTTTTGAGTGACCTCACAAAAAGGATGGTACTTCTTTCCTACCAAATTTTTTTTTCATAACCCTCCCTACTTCTGTTCATTACTTGCTATTTCAGTGGGAGATGCTGGGCTACAGAATGGAAGATTTCTTACCAATAATTTCCTTTGTGCTATCAGCAGCTCCCATTATTTTACCCACCCTGGATGGTTCAGTAGTCAAGGGTCAGATATTAAGTGGAATGGTTACCATATGACCATCTTCCTTGGTCTAATGTACATATTTATTTCGTTATCTCTGGAATATTTATTAATGATGTTATGTAAGTTTTATAGTTTGGGAATAACTCATCTGGCAGCAAGCAGGAGCAGAGGGGGCAGGGCCAGACCAGAGGGTGCCAAAATATTGATCCGCCTCCCTGAGCTGTAGAGAGAGGAGAGCACCCCAGAATTGTGGGACTAGCAGAAAGGAAATTATTGGTAAGGAATTTTCCATTCCCCCTGTATCTTGCTGGTTGATTGCTTTATCTTTGCTGTTTTTCAGGTGCCTCCCTTTACATCCTAATATACTAATTTCTGCATGATCCCCCACTGCAAAGTTAATTTTTTTTAAGTACTCCATTAAAAACCTGCCTAAAGTTTTGTGAAGTCCAACTGTGAGAATTCTGCTGCTCAAAAGGGGCAGCTCTTCCTGCTCAGCTTCTCAGCCCATGGTGAGCTGAAGCTTTGGGGGAACTTCTCTACAGTAGGGAAATGTGACGAAAATTCTCCATTGTTGCTAACACCAGATCACCTTTACCTGTGCTAGCAACATTGGGAACCCTAATGTAGATGGGATGCTGTTCTTTCCAAAAAGTGTAGTTAAAAAATACTCTATTTTATGTGGAAAGTTACAATCTTGACCTTTCCTCCTGCCATCCTATCTAGGCTTTTATAATCCACAGAAACAAGAAATATTGATTTGTTTCACACTGGCTAAATAGGACTATTTACTAACACACCTCTTCACCATACAGCATTTTAAAATATTTAAGTGCTGAATAATCCACATGCAAACTTTCAGTGACAGGACCGAGAGCGTATACATATTCCAATCACTTCCCTGAGGAATCTATTCTCTGTGATTGTAAGGAAAATGGAACTAAAATATTTGTTCAGTCACTTAAAAGAAAGGCTTCTGGCCAAAACTTATTTTTTATGAAGTAAATGTAGATTAGGTATTCTGTTCAAATGTATAATTTATGTATTTATAAATGGTATCCCATTGCCTTAGCTCCTAAGTCATCCCACCGTAGCACACTGACAAAATAAAAAAATATCAAAATACAAGTTTGACAAAATTAGATTCTATAAAATACCCCGATATCTGTTAATAAAATAAACTGATGCTATGTAATATTTCCTAGACACTCTACAAATTTAGAGTGAAAATGTAGCAGATTGCTTCTCCAATTGTCTATTTGGCTATGCAAATACATTTTCTGAACTTGCAACCTGTGCTAAATGGCTTACCATTGAACTTCTGGTTCATTCTTCTCACTGGAAGAAGCTTCTTTAGCTGGACAGTTGTTGCCAGCTTCTTCTGGAGTTGTATTATAAACAGTAGCTGGCAATGGTAAAGGTAGGTTAGCAGTGTTATCAATTTGCTCCCCGTTTTCACCACTGTTATACCCATCATTAGCACCATTGTTACTGCTTATACTTCCTCCACCAGCAGCATGAGGAGATACGGTAACCAGAGAAAAGCTCTCGGTCTTGGAACCACTTTTTCTAGCTTCTCGTTGTCTCTTTCGGTATTCTAATAAAGACACCTATGGAAAAAAAATAAGAGGAAAAGTTTACTCATTTTTCTTTACACACAGTTAACTTCTGATTGCTGATAAAATTAAATTGAAATAAAAATCTACAGAGCAGTTCTCTTTAAATAACTTCAAATGGATATACCACTTAAATTGTCTCTAAAATATAAGAGGAGGTAAGTTAGTAGGGCTAATGATACTCTTTTCTGGAGATTTACAAAATGATTTACTTTGGTATCTGGTGAATAGAAACAGGAGTACAGGCAGAAGAAGCATGTATTTCTTACCTAGGAAAAGGTGGAGAATGGATCTGGGGCAGTGAGTGTGAGAAGGTCCCACTATGCAGAAGCTGCACTGTTGGGGACTGCATTGTAAATATTGGGACTTCAAGCTACCATATGATAGTGGTGGCCATTTTAAACTATTTTATTTTTCTGGTTTTACGCCAATGCATTTGCATTTAAAACAAAACAGAACAGCAGGCTGATGGTTTGTTCTGATATACGGAAAGATTTGCAACATCCGTATTTGATTTCCATAACTTTTTCTTTTAAATAATGACAATCTGAATTATTTCCAATTCATGCATTTTTGTTTTCAATTAACCCTTTATTATATAAATAGTATATAATAATAAAGTAGAGATTCAGCATAAACAACATTATTTGTCAAAACTGGTTTCATTTCATTACTGAAGAACATGATGTACATTATATTTCTTAATGTTAAAGGTTTTATATATATTTGTAACTTTCGGAAGTCTCCTTAAAATATAAATTTTTAAACAGGCTGTGTTTTCTATGCTTCCTTCTATCCAGGAGGAAAATCTGTGCAAAGCTGCTCTCAGTGTACACCTTTGGGTTTGAAACAAAAAGCTGAAATACTGATATTCAGGCCTGGACAGTATTTTTATTCATTAAGAAATCAGCCTTCTGTGCAAGTTAGATTTAACCCCTTTATGCTTTCATGTCTATTACTGGCAACCTGTGCTGAGCCGTATCTTCATAAACCCCAAACCCAGGGAACAGAAGTGCCACAACAGAAAATGCATGAGATACTGGGGCAAATTCTCAGCTGCTATAAATTGGCATAGTGCCATTAAAAAAAAAAAAAAATTACTGAAGCTACACAGATTTACAACTGTTGAGATTCTGACCAACTGCATATACACACACACACACACCCCCAATGGCCAAGATTTTTTAAAAAATAGAAGCTTAAAATTAGTATCCTGAATCCATTTTTGGGCACAACTGATTTTAAAAAATGTTGAGTACCAACAGCTCCCACTTAAGTCATTATGAGAAAGGAGGAAGCGGTTGAACTATGAACATCTCCATTAAGTCTAACAAATAGAATTAGGGCTTGCCTACATATAGAGCACTGCAGTGGTGCAGCTCCACTGCGTCTGGTGAAGACGCTCTATGCCAATGGGAGAGCGTTCTCCCATCAGCATAATAAAACCACCTCCGCAAGTGGCAGCAGCTATGTTGGCAGCAGAAGCTCTTCCACCGACATAGCTCTGTCCATACTGGTGCTTATGTTGGTGTAACTTATGTTGCTTGGTGAGCAACATACACTGTAGGGTAGACATAGCCTAAGTGTTGCCTTATCCTTCATGTATTTACTGTTTTGTAAATTAAGAGAAATGGTGGGAAATTAGAAAAGACTGTGACCAGTGATATGATAAGGGACCCATCCAAGGGAATTCAGGTCACTTTATTTTGAAAAAGATGGATAGCCTCAGCATTTAGTTGACTTGCAAACTGTTCCAATGGTGAGGGCCTCATACTTTTCCTATTAGAAAGGATATGAAGACTGAAGATGCATTCTACCTGGGGAAGGAGTGAGACAGGGCAAGATTAAATGCCTTGTCTTGCCCTGTCTCACTCCCTCCCCAACCCCCACACTCATATGAAATAAGTAAATGGAATTCAGATACTCATTTTTCTTAAAGCAGTCCTTTAAACAGACATGGTTCAACTTTTGAAGAAGCTAATTATGCAGTAGAGGAGCTTGAGATCAACAACGTTCTCTGCATGGTAACAAAAGGAATGGTCTCTATCTAGGGTGACCAGATAGCAACAGTGAAAAAACGGGATGGGGTGGAAGGGGGAGAGGTGCCTATATAAGTAAAAGTCCCAAAAAATGGGACTGTCCCTTTAAAAACGGGACATCTGTTCACCCTCTCTCTATCCATAACTGAGCTTAGTATTTTCTCCCCATATGGCACAATTCCACCACAGCCAGAGGGTTCTTCCCCAAAGTGATCTTCCCCAAAGTTGATTTGCTTTCCAAAGTAATTTTTCACTGTCTCTCATTTTCATACTTCATTTAACAATATTTGATTCTTCAGTCGAGATCCCAGTTCCTTGACGTAAGAGCAGTATAACTTGTGCCAGAACAAGAACAGTTCTTGAGGGTATACTCCATATTCTTCATCAGGAAGAAAAGGTCAGAAATGCATTATGTTCTAGAGCTGATGGAATCACAACATGTGCAAGAAAACTGCTTTTCTGGACAGAGACCCTATGCTTACCATTCATTGTAATGTCGCAGCATCTCTATTACCATAGTATATGAGTGTCTCAGTCTTTACCATCTTCTCCTCACAGCACTCCTGTGTGTTAGGGAAATCATATCCCCATTTATCAGATTGGGAACTGAAGCACAGACTACGTGAGTTGCCCACAGTCATACAGGAAGTCTGCGGTGGAGCATGGAATTGAAGTGTGGCCTTGTGAATCCCACTCTCGCAAACTACTGAATCCTCCATATGTCTAACAAAAGTGTAATTTCATATATCAGTCCAGAATGTGGTAGCTGTTTCTTCATGTTCACCTACGGTCACAAACACTATCAATACACGGCCTCTTGGTCTTCTATCTGCATCCAGAGCTTTCGCAAACATTCTCTTAATGATAGTAGCCAGTCTCAAGGGCCCCCGAGCATACACGTACTTTTGCCTAGGTAATATGTTAATCCAGACTATGTTCAGCAAAGCAGTTCTCTACTCTGAAGATGCTCGTGAATTTAGAGATCTGAGAGCTTGTCTAAGCATGAAACTTATTATAGAATAAGATACGGTTTTAATTTAAAGCAGAATAGTTGTTCTGAAATAATTCCACATGTGGACACTTATTTTGGAATAAGTGTCTACATACGGAATTACTCCAGAATAACTCATATGTGGACAAACCCTGATCTGAGATGCACATATAACAACTTGGGAGGAGAGAGATATATACCAGTAAGGAAAGACTTATCAAGATCTCCCTCTATATATACACATCATTATTAGGCTCTGTTTCCATTATTTGGAACTGACTGTTTTGTTTAGGTGTAGTCTCATCTACACATGAGGAAGATTCAGAGATTACTGCCTAAGGAATACAAGCATATCCCAATCTGTGAACAGTAAAACGTGGATTCCGTAATCCCATCAGTTCTGATGTCAAAGGTGCAGCCTGACCAGTCATCCTCTCTAGAGAAGCGTCCTCAAAATTCATGCAAGTCTTCTAGTCTGAGAGTTCTCTTTCAACAGGTGTTGAAGTTGAAATTAAGCATACATTTTTCTAGATTTGAGGCCCTTTCTCTTGACCTTTCAAAAGGAAGCCTTGAACTCCCATGTTGTGATACAATTGACTAACATGACAGCAGTATTGTAGATAGATGAGAAGCTCTGTCATCCATGTAGAAGTCATTTCCTGGATTGGCCAGAATCTCACCTAACCTCTATACTCCATGTAAGCAATCAATAACTCAGGTAGGTATTAGAGAAACTGTACATTTGGAATACTCATTTGCAGTTCAAAGGTATAGCTAAATATTGCATTTGGCAATGTGTTGAATGCCAAAGCTTTCACAACAAAATGCACTGTATCCACAGAAACAATGGCCATTAAAGATGATACCAGACAAACATCTAAGGATTTTCATGTTCTAGACTGGTGCAATCTGTGGTCTGGAGGTCATTGTACTATATCATGAAGTACGCCTGGATAAAACCACTGTAAACTGGCTGCTTTAAGATTTGACATCTTGTCTTAGTTTCTTTAAATTTTCCTTTGGGAAGAAGTTCCCCTATGGAGGGGATAAACCATATCTTTTGCTGATGCCACCTCAGTATGTACTATCCTTGGGTTCCTGCATTTGATAAAATTTTGGAGTCTGCACAATGAGCCTCTTGCCCATGTCTGGAAACTCTTAGGCTGCCACAATAATATTGAACAAGTACACACCTATAACTAATTTGATCTTAGAAGTAAGGGACTTAACTTGATCCCTATCTGTATGCTTCTACAAAATGGTCTTAGATGCCTCGAGTCCAGTTTGGTAATTACTTTTCTCCTCATGGTTTCAAATTTATTGGACAGGAAAAGATTTTCCTGCAATTTTCTCTCAGGATGCTCTTCCTCAGTTTCTACGAATTCCTCTCTTTTTTGATACAAAAGGAGGAATAAAGAAATCTGATGTTTCTTTGATTTCTTGTTGTGCTCTTTGGACTTTTTAGCCCTCCTTTGATTTCTTAGCTTTGGTGGGAGAGAGAGGAGGTTTGCAATTTTGTCTGCTTTTCTTGGAAATTTCTCTTGTGTGAAACTACATTTTCTCTCTCATCAGGAGATGAGTAACTGGTATGGTAGACATAAACCCTACACTGCAGTACTTTTGAGAACATTTCTCTTCAGTGAGAGGAGGGGGTAGGAAATTATAACTTTTAAAGTATGCTGAACACTGATTTTAGGACTGTGGATGGAGTAGAGAAATCCCTTTGTTGCCTAGGTGGCTATGCCTGGATTTAAAGACAATGAGGCTCACTTAAGCATCAGATGAGGATGAATGGCAGAGTAGTTGCAGGAGTTTATAGCTGTTTGGCTTCAGCTGAGATCAGGTTCCTTTCCTCCTTCTTCAAGGTGCCTTGGAAGGAAAAAGGGCTGCAGTGACATGACTGGGAACAACCATGTCTATGAGTGTCAGAACAACACAGCTCGCCTTCAGTATCTAGCTGCGGATGTATCTCTCAATCTGAGCACAGCCTGGACTTGAATTTCCTTTTCCTGAGCTGATCTGCCATGTTGGAAGCGGTAAAAAAAAAAAGAGAAAAGGGGGGGAAAACCCCGTTCATTACTGCCACAAAAAGTTTGAAAAAAGGAAGAGGAAATCTAGAAGTGCTAATGACTATGGGGGCAGAACTTCTGGCAAGTTGCCAGGTGAGAGACACCCTCATCCCCAGTGTTCCTGTTCCCCATTCTGTAAGGAGAGAGAACAGGTACCACTCAACATAGTAACATCTACTGAAGGCATTATGCAGGAGATTTTAGTGCTGGTAATGGCTGACAGTTACAAATGGGCCTATAGCCATACATACCCTAAATGTACTGTAACTGTTTCATTTAAATATTCTTTATACTTCAATCTTTTTTAATAAACTAGTACTATGAGTTTCTTTGTTTGCAGCATATGATTTTTAAGCTGACAGAATCCCTTCAACTATAGTATTGTGATATTTTGGGATAGAAGCAGGTATATTGATTTTCAGGTATGAAAATTAGAGGTTCCTTTTTAAAAAGGTAATCTGTTAATCATACAATGAATGTAATATCTGCATTGTAATACCTGTAAAAACTGATCAATAATTTGTTTTTATTAATGTGGTTATTTATTCTCATAACAGTTATGCATGTATTGGACTATATAAAATAAATCATGAATGATGCTTAAAGTTGTAACCTTTTTCTTTTGTGGAGGATTCTGGGGTGTGCAATTTCCATCCATCAAGATGTCGTTATTGACAGTCCTTCCAAAGCCAGATGCAATTCCATCTTCTGACGTACAAAAAACAGATGCTTCCATAAACATGCCTCTTGCATCATCTTGAATCAGGCACTTTGACTCACTTATTCTGAATCCACCTCCTACTTCCAATTGATGTGAAGGTGTCAAGTCCCTCAAATTAGAATTCATTGAAAAATTTACACCTGTCCTGTCTGGGCTTTTTACCCATGTAGAATAAATTGTACCCCGACCACACTGAGCAGCTTCTAGTTGGCTGTTAGAATCAGTCCTATCATGTGAGGGGGCTTCCAAGTTTTTATGCAATGTACTTTGCTCAATTACTTCGAGTCCCAGCTGAAGGTCTGATACAGATTCCTTTTCTCCAGTGCACTGCCTGGTGACATCGGTCCTATTCCTTGGACTAGAATATCCAATAGTCTTTATTTCTTGCAGGCCCATTTCTGTCAGACTGGAATTTCTGAAAGAATTTAGTGCTAGAATTGTGGATGATCTGTCATATCCCTGCATGGAGAGGGGAAAACAAAAAAAAGGCATATAGCAGATATTATTTTTTCACAATATAACTTTTCTTCTTATACTACTACATGTAATATAATTGAGACTTCACTGGTGACTGCATCCTTAAAGCAGAATTAAATCCCTTTTAGTTATGGGAACAAATTATTTTAATCAGAATTAGACCACTTGCAGAGAGCACATTTAAGAGCCACGTTCAAAATGATGTTTGTGTTTGTTTTTGTTTTTTTTTAATGCCTTCCTTGCCGCCACCTTAACACATGAACATTTAAGGAGAGAAAAACAATCTCATGGACAGGCCAGTTTAAAAAAAATAAACATTTCTCATGTTTCTACTTTTGCTACATATGTTGATAGTTATAACATTTTAATCAAATGAAGATTTCTGAATTTGTCTGCAATATCAAAATACTGGTGTTAAATTTTAGATGTCAGCTCTTATGATACAAAGAAATCTCAACAGAAGCAGGGTTCCTGGTCCTAAAGAGCTTAAATGACATATGGCAGGCTCCTTTCCAAATAGTGCGTCACCTAACAAGGCCCAGAGGGTTCCCTACTACTAGGCCTGCCGACAGAGAGGCGGGGTCAATTGCGCAGGGGCCCTGGTAATTTAAAGGGGCTCAAGCAGATGGGATAGATATGTATTTTTTAAATAAAAATTAAGATAAAAAAAAAATCCAATTTCCTGCTGCTGCTACTCTATACAGAGCACCATCCCTCACTGTGACAGTAACAGTTTGCCAGAACGCTGCTGCACCTGCTCGTCTGGCAGAATGTCAGCAACAGCAGCCTGGGAACCGTGGAGCTTGCTGCCTCCTCTGGCTGGTCGGGAACTGCTGTGCCTGCCATGCTGGCTCTCTGGCTACAGGGCAACTCTGAAGAGGAACAAGGTCCCTCTGAGCTACCAGATTTCCTCCCCCAAGACTACAGGACTACAGCTCCTTGCCAAACACAAGCCAGCCAGTTCAGCCACCCAGTTGAGCCATCCTAAGTTTCCCCCTTCGCTGCCACTAGCTGCTATCACGAGCACAGGATGAGGGGCCACCTCTCCCACTCAGCCAAGGAACGAGGTGCAGGTTTTCCCTCGGCCTTGCCTCCTCGGAGATCTCCTGGTAGATTTGGTACATCATGCCTGCTGTCTCCTCATTGCTCTGGGTGATGATGTCGCACAGCACCAAAACGCAAGTACTGTATTGTATATTTTAACTTTGTTGGTCATATTCAGTTACATCTTGTATATCAGTTTTTTCTTTGTCTTTTACACATGAATCACATGAAAGCTTATGCTCAAATAAATTGGTTAATCTCTAAGGTGCCACAAGTACTCTTGTTCTTTTTGCAGATACAGACTAACACAGCTGCTACTCTGAAACCTGTAATGAGGTGTTTAATTAGCCTACTTGAGACTTTAGGTGTTTTTTTACTTTGTGCTTCTTTAAATGTTTTATATATTACTTAATATAATTCCATAATGTATTTATTTAATTGAAATATATAATTCAAAACAACAAATTCTACAGCTTATATTTAGGCTCACAATTTGTTTAATACTGATGCTGTAACTGGAAAAAAAAAGTTCAAGCAACGCTATAACTTACTTATAGAGGTTCTAATGTGTTACAAATAGGATAAAAAGTAGTGTCATAAACCTCAGCCATCCCTTTCTAGGGAGGCCACTGACTGTTCTGCTCCGGGGCCTGAAATTGCTATCGGCAGGCCTACCTACTACCACTGACATTTTAAATGTTTTCAGGAGAGAAATGCCATTCTAGGCATCATAGAAGGCTAGTAATTTAAATCTTAAATCAGACACAATACCACCTTATGTAAAAACTAGCTACATAATTAAAATTATACAAGCCCTGTGTCTAAAAATAACCAGTTATAAATATGAAGTATTTGTTTAAATGAGCTTTATAGTTCATATATTCAACTGACATGAAAATTTGACAACCATGTTAATTCTAACCTACTGATGTACTTAACAACAACAACATGTATCAGTGAATATTTTTTTCCACACAGTCAGAGGTACATTTTAAGTCATTTTTAAGACTCCCATTAGAATATACAAGGTAAATTTCTAAAGAACTGCCTTTAGCTGAATGTGTAAGACATAATAGTATTAGAAGTATGTATAAATAACCTTTACTGATCATTTCTAGACATTTCAGTGCTTAGAGTTTTGGAATTTTTTTTAATATTAACACTAATTAAGGATTGATTATTTCACCAACTTTAACTCTTAAATTTTGTTGCTGGTAATCTACAGAATAATGCACTGTTTATGACTGTCTTCTTCTGAAAGAAATTTCATTTATGTCTTCTCAAATGTATGGATCATGTTGCCCTCTAGTGCCTGTAGTTACAGAGGATCTAAGCTCTAAGTGGGACAAAGAAAGGAACAGCAAATGGAAGGGAAGTGGGAGAATGTGGAAGGATGGGGAAAGAATTAAGAAGGGGGAGCAGATAACAAGGAAGGGATAAATAAAGAGAAAAATTGGGAATGTGCAGTGCAGAAGTCAACAACCTGAGCTTGAAGAAAAATTACTTGCCACATTTTCACCAGTTGACTGATTTCTGGTTTGTTTACTATTAGTCTTGCAAAACAAGAGATTTTTCTGCTAATGAAGATGTACAGATGAATCAGCAGACTTTTCTACAGTTTCTCACAAAGATTCTTACCTCCTGACTGTAAGCTCGCCTCTTAATTTCTGGGGAACTGTCAGGTGAGGAAATATTCTGCACAAATAAGAAAATTAGTAAGATTCAAGTTCAATCTTAACATAGGGTGACAAAGAAATATGAGAAATAAGAATGAAACAACTTAAGTTTCCATTCTTCAAATTTGTGTAAGAAATGGTTTTGTTTCAATTTAATGGCATAAAAGTAACTGTTCCGTAACTGTTGTTGACAATAACCACGACATACGAAAGTTACCAGGCTATTAATTATATATTACAATGCAACATATAGAAAAGCACATCTCTGCTTCAATACTGTTGACCCTTCATTCTTTTCAGATTTTGAAAGTAAACTAATAATATCCAGATCTTGTTGATAACTGTACAATTTTTAGGCCCAGATTTTGCAATAAGATTTGTGCAAGTGGATGTGCCCAGAGAAGTAAATGGGGCTCAATACAAGCATAAGAATTCACCTAGATGGTTCCGATTGTTGAACCAGGGCCTTTAACAGTAACTTACAGTGTAGTCCTAAAAAGAAAAGGAGTACTTGTGGCACCTTAGAGACTAACCAATTTATTTGAACATAAGCTTTCGTGAGCTACAGTGAGCTGTAGCTCACGAAAGCTTATGCTCAAATAAATTGGTTAGTCTCTAAGGTGCCACAAGTACTCCTTTTCTTTTTGCGAATACAGACTAACACGGCTGTTACTCTGCAAAGTGTAGTCCTAATGAGCAATTTGGGGTTTAACTACATGGCACTGGTAAAACATGCCAGAGGGGTGTGATTTATAAAGGTCCTGTAAAGATAATATGTTGCATTCTAACTGCCCCTTGTAGACCCTGCTGGCACACTCTAAAAATCCAAACTAGGTACCTTTTAGAGCATGCCAGCAGGAACTACATGGGGCAGTCAGAGCACAACATGTTAGAGCACTTTACAAAATCATACCCCTCTGGTGTTGTTCCATGTAAACAAGACCTTATGTTCCACGAACAGAAACCAAGTCTGATAATCTTGGTGCTTAAAGCAACTGGCTAAAGAGTTTTAAGTGCAAAACAAGACAGTAATATATCTATTTATATATATAGATAGATATCAGAAAATGTCTTATTTAAAAGATGGGGGGGGGGAAGAAGGGGAGTACATATTCATGTTCATCTGAAAATCTTACCTCAAAGTGCATGGCATTTCCATGTATACATGGAGTCACAGGGGTAACTGGTGAATATATGGGTTTGTAACCATTCCTACAAGTTTCATCTTCTGCTTTTATCCTAGGAGGGGTAGCAAACAATGACGGGTCTGTGGCAGTGGTATCAGCATGAGTTGGCGTGGCATATGGAGAAGGAGTAGGTGTGGAGGTTTCTGAATAAGCAGAATCCAGTAACTGATAGAGTCTTCGTTTTTTTAGTGGTGTTGTTAGATCTATATGTTAAATAGAAAAAAAGAGACTAGGAAACAATATTTTGCTGATCTGATAGTCATTCCTCCTCATTTTGTAAAGACTTGGGCATGAAATAAAGTTATAAATACAACACATTAAATCAGTCAGGCAGTCAAATTAAAGAAATGCCTCTCTCATGAAAAAAGTGTTAAACATGAAAAGTCAACTATAATCTTAACAAATTACTGAAGGCAGCAGACTTTAAGAACTGAAATTTTCAATATTAACTAAAATGATGGAAAAACATTATAAATTACCAAAGTTACAATAACGCATCAGTTACTACATCATGAACATTAAAACTATCAACATGTTTGTAACTTTGGATAGGAGACATTGCACACAGACTTCATATCCCAAGGTTGCTTAGTTTCACCACATTCTCATTAAATAAATAATTTTAAGACTAGGTAATTTTTCTGGGTTTTTTTTTGTGCAAGCAACTCTCCCATTGAAATTAATAGGCATTTTGGATATACAAGGACTGCAGGAATGGTCTATAACCTGAAAAATAAGTCTGAGCAGATCAATATAAAATACTTCCTCTAAACCAGTGCTACTCAAAGTGGTGGTCCGCGGACCAGTGCCGGTCCGTGAGCCATCAGCTGCCGGTCTGCGGGCACATTGGGGAAAAAAATTGCTGGTCCCCCACATCAGATAGCTTGAGAAGCACTGCTCTAAATCATATTTTCCCTCAGTGAAACCCTTAAAATTCTGAAGAATAAAAGTTATCCATATTTATGTGTAAATTTACACTAGCTGGAGTAATAAACTATAGTACACCACAAATTATTTTCATCCCATATTTCAAGTGTTCTAATATGACAAGAACAAAGAAAAGAGTGCATAATACCCAATATTAAGGAGGATTTTCCTATACTGTCCACTAGAACATTTGTTGTTTATATGGGGCGTTTATAGTTTGAAAACCATGTTTCCTCAGTAATTTAAAAAATATTAAGCTACTTCAAAAGATTAAGATGTCTTATAATATTTAGGTGTTAAAAACTTCACCTGGTAAGGAACAGCTGTCATTCAATAATAATGGACTTTTATTTTCACCATTGATCACAGGACTTCTAGATCTTTCTTGAGATGGAGAATTAAATCTGTCTATCATTGTTGAGTTTTCTTCTTCCAAAGCTTGCTTCAACCAACGCTGTCATAAAAAGCAAGAATTTTCAAAAATTAGATGTAATTTCATTTCTAATTGAAACAAGTTCTGAACATGCTACAGACAATAGAACAAGTTCTAAACACTGCAAGTTCCAACACAGGATTCATGCTTACAAACAAGAATTGTGATTAAATAAGAGGGAGTTGGGAAAAAAAGAAAACCCACAGAAACAAGCAATTTGCCTTTCGTTTTAAAGCCAAGTTAAGACAAAGGATTCATTACCTTCTTGCAAGAGCCAGTAATGTTTTCCATGGGTTCTTTTCTCCTCCTTTTTTCTGAAAGGAATGGTGAAGTAAAACGAATATAGTGCTTAGGAGTAGAATATACATGTGGACTGTAAGTGAGACCTGGTAAAGAATTCAATTGTGTAGCCAGAACTTCAGGGTCTGTAGTTATACGCAGAGGCCTTTCTGAAAGGCTGTCTATAGGCTTTCCTGTCTTCTCAATCTTCTCACTTAACCATTCACTGACCAAGTGCTAGAGAAAAAGGGGAAAATGTCAGTGCTTATAAAGTTATACATAAGAAATTGCTAAATGCTGCTTACAGAATGGTTTAGTATCTCAACCCTTCTGCATTTGGTAAATCATATATGCTTTTTGGCTCATACAATATATTGATATCTAGTTTTCTGGACTGTAAACTCACAAATCTTTAACATCTAAAGTATAGATCAGCTTGCAATTTCTCACTGATAATTTTCTTCACACTCCCTAAAATTCTAGCTAGCTTGTATGTTTCTTACCATCCTTGACATGGTTCTTTTTTAATCAGCCACATCATCCGTTTATGTTGGATTGTCTTTTTCATAGTGAGTATGAATGAAATGAGTTTTCATTTACAGAAGGCATTTTACATGTTAAAGTGTTGGGTGCAGTTTGCTTTTTCAGCAGATTCTGTTAATAGTATATAAAGGTTCATTAATTTATCATCCAGCAAATAGGTAGACTGGAATGAGACTAAATCACATTGTTATTTTAGCCTAACCATAAATCTGTCTTTCTACTGATGGTAACTTAAAATGTTCAATTTACATTTCATCAACATTTAGAAATTGGTTCTTCATTTACTCTATTATCCTCCCATCCCATCTAATAACACTGAGTTTATATTCAATTACAACATCAGCGCAATTACATACATGTGCAAACTCTTGAGGCAACCTAAAGGCCAAAGATCATCATAATAAAATGCATAGTTTTGATAACTGGTGAAATAATTCAATACAAAAAGATCTAGATATTAAATACTGCTAAACTAACAAAGTGGAATTGTTTACATGATTTTGAACTAGTGCTGGTTCTTGGTGCTGGTTCTTTCATTAACATTCTTGAAAATTTTACGCCGATACTTTGTTAAATTCCTACTGTACTTTTTTTTTTCCTGTTTGTACAGCATCTGGCATAATGAGGTCATGGTCCATGACTGGGGCCCATAGGCACAACAATAATATAAATAATCGTATCTGCTGTGAAGTTGTATAGATTGAATGTTCTTAGGACCATACATATTTTGATTCCAGAGTATATTTCAAGACTAACCTCTAAGCCACTAAGCATGGGAAAATGCTTAATATGTATAGGTCTTCATTGTCAGATTTCATTAGTGTCCTGTCTTCAGCTTAATTTATTTTCACTGTTCTAATTTGAATATATTCCCCTCCTCCCAAAAAACCCCCAAACAAAATGTACTCTAAAAGTTGAAATACACCACTAATGGCACTTTCTCCAAAGTGGCTTCTCCACATATATAGAATTGCAAAAAACCCTAAGTCCTACAAGGGGATTTAGCTCCAATCACAGGAAGCAAGAAGGCTGAATTCCAATATGTATATCACTCTTTTCAATAACTTCCAAAAGTGTTGCATTTTGTACTCCAACCTGTATCTCTAAGTCTGTAAAGTGGTAAACCATAGTAGAGAAAGCTACTCCCTCCAAAAAGATGGTAAAATCTCTTTACTTCAAAACATTGCTTGAGAGCAGTATCTGCAGAGGCTGTTACACCAAGCTTGAAATGAATCAGTGAAAAAGCATTGATAGAGATGGTTGGGAAATTATCCCACCCCCAAAAAACTGACAAAACCAAACTTTCACTTTGCCAAAAACTTTTTGTCAGAAAGTCAATACTTGAAAAAACATGTTTAAACATGTTTCAGAGTAACAGCCGTGTTAGTCTGTATTCGCAAAAAGAAAAGGAGTACTTGTGGCACCTTAGAGACTAACCAATTTATCTCTAAGGTGCCACAAGTACTCCTTTTCTTTTTATGTTTAAACATGTCCATTTAATTGAAAGGTCATTTTTAATTTTAAAAAATTGACAAATTTTCCAATTCACTTTAATAACTGGGTGGCCCAACAACTAATCAGAATGCTTAAGTATATGCTTGCAATAAAAACTGTTTTCAAAAAAGAACTAGATAAATTCATAGAGGATAGGTCCATCAATGGCTTTTAGCCAGGATGGGCAGGGATGGTGTCCCTAGCCTCTGTTTTCCAGAAGCTGGGAATGGATCTACCTGTTCTGTTCATTCCCTCTGGGGCACCTGGCATTCGCCACTGTCAGAAGATATGATACTGGGCTAGATGGGCCTTTGGTCTGATCTAGTATGGCCATTCTTATGTTCAGTCATGTAGGATTTTTGCTTCTCATTCCCCAGTATGGTACAGCCCTCAATGGGCTATGCCTAAACTACACTTTTTCACCTAAAATTTTCTACCGCTACTAATACACTAGAACGGTTGATATGGGGAGAAATGCTAGTGTTGACCACCCACCAGCATTTTAGCTATCCTGTCATTTAGACTTACACCAAAATGCCTTTTTAAATCAAAATCAAAGTCTCTGATCCCCCAAGAATCAAGTCACCTATTTTAATCATTATTTAAATCAGCATGTAGAAAACCTTAATTTAAAACACTGATTTTAATCTTGTTTTGCATTTGTATTTTATTTTGCTAAAGAAATGTTCCTTCTCATTGGATGGGATAACCACTAAAACATGTTGCTTTGCAAACAAATATAGACATTGCACTAATATGGTATTCCTTTTTGCTAACCAAGATACACTATATCTACACGTGTTTATATAAGCAATTACATAATTTAACATGCATTATTCAAATTCTTAATGTTTACACATTTTTATATTGGAACATGACAAATGGCACATTTCTTATTTACTAGATGATAATCTTTTTCTCGGGATTTATGTCAAACTGCATCTGGATAGAAACTGGAATTCAATTAAAAGTGTACAATACAGCATTTAAAAATTGTTCTTATTAGCTGAAAATTCCTTAAATGTACTGAATACATTAGAAAAAAAGTTCTAATTACAAAACAAGTTTTGATAAACTAACTAACTGATTTATGAAACAATGGGAGCATTAATTGTCTCTGGTTGCCACTGGCGCTTGCTGGGGACATTTGAAAATCCTACATGGCACCTAACTGTTGCATCTTTAGCCACCTAAGTAGCTTTGAAAATTTGGACCCATGTTCTTTAAATTTTAGAATTAGTAGATCTTATCTTCTCCCACCTGTTTTTTATTTACTTATTGGAAAAGGAAAATAAGCTTTCCTGCTTTTTCAACTTCCAATCTATTTTTCAACTTTGAATGAACTACTCCATCCACATGAAGAAAATAGTCTTTCATCTATTAGCTAAACTGAAACCGAAAGTAGTTAGGGCAAAAACTTCTTTGAACAACAGAAACTGGAAGTACTTACATTTTGAAAATTGTAAATATCCAATCTTATCTCCATTTTAAAGACTGAAAAGAGAGGTACGTAATGCAGTACAGGACACGGCAACGTATTTATAAATGCTTGAGTTGACTCAAAAGTTAAAGATGTGTTTTCTCCCTAATTTATTTTATATATAGATATATAAAATTTAAAAAGTACCCTTTAACTTACTAAAATTTGAGGAGGGCTTATTGTTGTGGCATATTTTTTATTTAAAGGATTTTAGCAAATTATACTGCAATTAGGGTTTACCATAGGTTGTCAATTTTAAATTTATTTTAAACAGTTATTTTTTTAAAACAGGCAAGTCTATTTAATTTAAATAAAAACACAATTTAAGTAAGAAAAATCCAAAATTTGTATCCACGCTTCCCACAATGACACAATAAAGGAATTTGAGAAAGGACATCTAGAATATTATGGAGTGGCAAATGGACTCTAGTTTCAGGCATTGATTTTTCTTCAGACTTCTCAGGTGTCTTTTACTCCTTTAAGCTTTGGGTCACAAACAGAGAAGATAAGAAATAGCTTCTAGCTTTCCTTCACAATAGGAGCTAAAAGGTGATTTAAAAGGTAGGCATCTGCAGTAAGCAGAGCAAAAATATCCCTGGGGGTTTAGGATATACTGCTTCATTGCTATGCTTTGGTTTTGTGATGTGTGGAAGGGTAAAAAGATACCTTATTAAATAATGCAAGTTAACTGAATTTTTGGAGTTGTTTACTAATGGTGTCAAAATACTGAAACTGGTCTAGCACTATTTTCTTCCACATTTATATTAAAAATAGGGTTCTTCGTTTTCAGTTTTTATTTTATTTAATTTTTCCCAGGAATTTATCAGTGTTTGTTACCACAACAATAAAAACAGGTGAAAATCAGTACAAAAAACTAGTAATTTTTCTGTGTAAATACTGGGGTTTATTTTGGTGGACAGAAAGACATGGAGAAAAAAGTATTCAGTAGATGAATACTTTGAATTCCATTATTCATCTATATGATCTGCTGCAAAACTAAAACAGAACTCAAAACATAATGCCACCTCTGAGTTTAAGAAAACAATTTCTCTCTGATCCCCAAATAAAACTTTTCATTTGAATAAACAGTTTACTGTTGTAGACTTAGAACTATTAGCCTATAAATATTTACATTTAATAATTGGGCCACACCACTTGCAGCGCATACACTCAACTTCATCCTTTTCTCCCTTTAAAAAAAAAAAATTGAATGCTTCCTTGTGTTCTCAAATGTATTCTCAGATTTTCATTTTCCTCCCATTTTAGTGTGTCAAATTTTTAAACTGTTATCTGCTAACAGCTTGAAATGTATACATGGTGGGCATGAGATTCATCAGTATATTCAGATGCGCATGCTACTTCAGAGTTCGAGTGCGTGCCCTGTGTTTATTGTGTGTATCTTCTACACTAATGCATAGCCTTATTTTAACGGGCAGCTTTGCATATATACACACAGACTAATGTATCGTATTTTCCTAATAAAACAAGTTATTTTTATATATTTGAATGATACAAAAGCGAAAATCAATAAAAGCTGAATAATACTTTCTGTAAAACCTGGGAATTTTTCAGTAAAAATTGGTTTAAACTGAAAACGAAGAGGCTTAATTATAAAGAATACTTTCTTTAAATTTTGAACATGCTGCACAAGTTGTTTAGAGAATTATTATCTTTCACAGTGCAAGATATTTTGAAAGCTGTTTTAATTAGTGCTGTAGGA